CATTTATACAACTATTCTATATGTCAACTTCCTACAAATGCGGATTGCGAACCGGGACGTATACGGCTTTGGTTCAGCAGAGGACATATAGGGGTCATATAAGTCACTTTTTCGCACTGTCTTTGAATACATTGTTCCGTCATTTTTATATTCTATGCTAGCTTTGTATACTCACAATTTTCATGCAGAAGTACCGAATAAATACTGGTGTGCAGCAGTTAAGTCGAAACATTTCTCTATTTATTTAAGACTATTTAAATATATTTAGGTTAGATGCGTTAACAAATAGTCCCGAGAATCGGGAACTTTAATCTTTACCATTGGAAAATTTTTCTCGTGCGTTTTTGTGCGTCCCATGGACAGTACTAGATTACAGAGGCCCGTAAACATAGGTAGATAGCAAATGTAATTCCAGAAACAACAAAAACGCTACAATAAATGGATGCTACCGACAGCTCCGTTCTAGTTGTTGTGTATCATGCACCGCCTTAATATTGGTCACATTTCAGGATTATCGCAACCAGCCCTCTTAAGATTTTAACGTTTCAATAATTCAAGGGGGTAACAATATCTTGGATTTTTTTGAAAACAAATCTTCTTGTCCTGAAATGAACCCTGGCCCGATATCGTGAGCTATCTCGTCGTTCGACCAGTCATAAGTTACCTTTTTCCTTATACAAAGAGATTTTATGTCAGACAAATGGAAATTTCATGTCGAAAGTTCTATTACAAACGATGTAGCATTAACGTTTTACAAGGACAAACTAAACACACAAAAACTTTGACTTTAGAAAGTAAAAAAAAAAAAAACGCTAGGTGCCTCACAGTAACGTAGTACGACTTTTGTATACCATAATGCGTATGCATAATGCATAACAGAGACTATGGTGATTCGCCTATTTTATTTTATTAGAACTGGTTTTTCAGTTTATGATAAATTTTTATTTTATAATATACAAACGTAATTTGCTTTCAAGTTTTATACTTACAATAGTATTTGCAAAATAATAATCATCTGACTGGTTCGGTGCCAAGGCAAAACTTCAAGTTATGAGAACTTATTTCCGACGCCCAACTCATCCTCTTTGGTACTCTACACGAACATTACGTTATTTAGTGCGTCCTATCCGCCAAATAAATTAATCTAATATTCATATGGACGCATGCCCACTCTATACATTAAATAATTAGGAAAATATGATGTAAACATTTGATAATATACAGATTTTCGTTTCCACAATGCCATTTTTGCAACTGTCGTATCGGTTAATGCATATTTTAAGCTCCACGTTTGAAAACAGAGCAGACAAGAATTCATGTTTAAACTGTACTACTGTATTCCTTAACAAGCCTTTATTACTTAAGGCCATCTAAACCGGCATTAAAAGATGCTTGTCCAATACCGATAAGCATCTCCATATCACATAAATAGCACACCGACTGCTAAAATTTTAAACATTTGCCTTTTCTGCTGATCAATGCAATCGTAAATCCAACGAAACACCATAGATGGCACTACTTTCCGCTCTAATTTGACTCCTTACGCCACTTTCGTCCGCTTCTCATTTCTGTCTCCGTGTCATTTGTCTAGAATTTTACTAGAATATTTAAGGCAGCCTCAGTAAAATAGCTTCTTTCCGATCTAAGCCGGGTACCAGTGCAAGCGACTGTCAGGTAATTAGCCCCTTCTCCATCCTTCCACGGTTAGTCAAACCCTATTAGAGCTAGCGAAATCTTCTAAATTACTTCTTCCCTTACGTGCCATACAAGTGACGTAAAAGCCTAAACCAGCCCTAGTTTCGCGCAGATTTTAAATTTAACAACCCAGTTGGGTTATTATTGGCCGTTTTCCTAATACAAACAATGATCTACCGAAGCCAGGCAGATGCAAGCGGACGAAGAAAATATGAAATCACTTTCGGCGTATGATAAGTTGACTCGAGGGAAAAGGAGTGAATTACGAAACATCGCGCCACCCCTTATTAATAGAAGCTCTCAATATTTTTTTTTAAAAACGTATATTCCCGTGATAGCGCAATGGGTAATGTATTGGCCTTCTTAATCCAAAAATTCGCTGTTAATTACCATTTGTTTCGTGTTGGGACCCAGCCGTCCGAAGTAGGGTCTAACAGGTTAAGTGCCGAACAGGAAAAATAATACCGAAATCGTTTTATCCTTTGTATCTAGACGTAGATACGTAGAGTAGGAACCGTATCGAAGGGTAATGCCTTTTTTGATACTACGGAAAGACTGCTATTACGTGATATAAAAATCACTAAAAAATTTTATAAATACTTTGTACGTGACGGAGAAGTTGTAACGAAAATGAAATATTATGTAGTTTTAATAACCTTTACGACTGGCTTATATGGATATAATAAAATAAAAATGGGGTACGGGTTCAGCTTTGACAGCGCTTTGCACGTACATAAATTAGGCAGTAAGACTAATATGAATACATTTGTCAAGTAGATGCAGCTCCCAATGGCAATTATTTCGCTCTGTAAGACTTGCACTTTGTGACTGCGAAAAACCAATCGTCATAACTTCCCTGCCCAACAGGGGCAGTCTCACTATTCAGTACGTCAGACTTCATATACTTTTCGGAAGTTCAACCTGGTGCGTATAAAGGAAAACTGGAAACCAATTGGAAGGGTCAAAATTGGAACAAAATTGGAACGATTTCCCGAAAGCAAGTTTGTGTTAGGCGTCCGCCCGGCGAAACGTCTTGCAATCTCTTAAATAGAGTTTTTAAATTTCCTTACGGTTGTTTTGAACCATCGTTAGCAGACGATAAGTGACGCAGATTAGAAAAAAAAAGCATAATATAAATAATCCTCTGGGCCGGCCAGCATGATGCCTATCTAGTAAGGACATCTGTTTGAGATACAAATCTGTTTATATTTAAACGCTGAATCGGCGCACAATATATTCTAGTATCTGAAAACTTTGTAAAAGCAAAAAGGAGTGTGACTTCTATACGGTGCAGTCCATTCGGAGATCAAAAAGGTCCTCGAAGATAGCGGAACTTAGCATATACTTATTATTTTTCATATAAGATGACAGTTTACTGATTTACATTAAAGGATAGCATAGAATCATTGTTGAGAGTTACAAAGGAGCCAAAATAAACCGTGTCTTCTATTTTGTGCCCTATGCGATTAGGAAGAAGTGAGATCACCGATGCGCACCTACAGACGGTAGAAAACACCTACACCTATCGACATCACTGGCACTGTATATACACTAGTCTTTAGTTGCAGCAGTTAATAGATGTTTTGGGGGTTTGTGTATTTTAATATATTTTATAAACACACTCGCAGAGTAATAATGGACGCTCGATCTCAAGAGCTGCCCCCCGGACCCACTGTAAAATGCTGAAGGTCTTTCGCAGTTCTGGAAATTTTGAATGAGGTTACATTCATTAACTGAGTTTGTTTCCTACAAGAGAAAAAGGTCACATGTAACAAAAGAAAATGAAACAATTTTGGGCCCGACATGCACATCCATTTCCTCCGCTAGGGAACCTAACTTCCGATTACGTTTTCTAGGACTTTATCGAACCGACTTCCTCAAAAAAACTGTAAATTGCCTGGTTCTAGATTGTACTTGTGGGCTTCATCCCAGGCCCACTGATATGTGAGTAAAACGATATGTGCGTTAAACCTCGTTCCCCATTTGGTTAATGATTTCAACTAAGCACTATATTTATTGTATACTCATAATTCCGTCATTTTACCTGAGCTTAAATTGCCTGAGTTTAAATTGTGCCTGTGCACGATAGAATCGAGAATATGTGTTTACTAATGCACCTTGACACGGTTCAGTTATCAGTGACTCTGGCTAACGTACAGAGTTCCAAATTCGGTCCCCTAAGGAGCAGCTGTAGCGTTTCTTTCAGATGTGATTACTGGAGTAGCTGTGATACTAAGATTATCGAAAGCATTCAGCGATTCCAGCGACGAGACAAACAATGTGGTAACAAGTCAAGGCGAGTCCATCAACGTAAACAGACGAATTAAGCAAGATAACGAATTCGACTTCTTTGCTTAAAAAGTCACACTGCCCTCTATAGGCAACCCGGAAGACGACCATGGTATTGGGATGTTGTTTGAACGAGGGTAGTACTGTTATCTGTCATGCATAAGGCTCGTCTTCAGAAATAACGTGTTTGCTACTGGAACTAATGACGCGCAGAGTGGCCTAAATCCGAAACGGGCCGTTCGCGCATTTTGTTTCGTTATTTAGGTAATTTCTAAACAATGAACGCAAAAAAAGCTAACGAAAAGCAAACATCTCTGTTGATTTGCGCAAATATGAGTCTCCTATCTTCATCACTGGGCAAATGTGAATCTCATATCAACTGTGCTTATGGGCTAGAGTTGTACATATCTCTCTTCTTCTCAAGTATTCACCCAATTTTGAACTCGTTTCCCATTCAGTCTACCGGTCACACATGCGTTCGTATAGTGACGTCGTATAAATATATGATGAGAGCGACATAAAAAAAAGATTAATTATCATATTTTCACGATGTTGATGATAGTAATCATAGCCCTGAAAAATAGTATGAACCAAGTTTCTCAAGGAGAGATGCACTGTTGCCTATGGTGGTAGGCTATTTGTGCCGGTGTTTATTTCCCAGTCGTTAAGACACGTCTACGATATAGGATGCGTGGATTGCGGTTCGGACACTGCCACATCGGTTTCTCTGTAGTCACCCTATTTGTCGGCGTCGTCATCTTCAAGCACGTCGCGCCATGCTGGTTGCAGCCATCGGCCCTTTTTCCTATAGGTTGGTCCGCTAGTAGAAAAACGCTAGCAAAACTCTTTCGTTAGCTTGCTGGCGGTCTTCGTTTTCTTGGCGTCGTATGTTCTTTAGTTGGTACCAGTGCCGCGGGCGGCGCTCTGATCGCCGACTATAAAACATGCTGGCCTGAGTGTACCCGCCACACTTGTGGAATCGGCAAAGGTGGTGTAACGACAAAGAGATCTGCAAAAAGTTCACAGAAAATCATTATTACATTAGTCAGTGTGTTGTATGTGCTATTATTTAGCGTAACTCGATTGAACTATTAGAGAGCACCAACGAAACGAGCCGAAGGGAAGAACGAATGTATATGAAAATTGAGTTGTGAAAAGAAGTGAAAAGTTTCAAGCGTTCAATTAAACTTTACTAGTTGTGCTACGGTTAGATAAAAACAAGTTAACCCATGGTCGAGCAGAAAAGTTAGAGATAGTCAAACACGAAGGCAGCCTTTACGTGAATCACGATTCGATATTTTGTGGTAGACTCACTTTAAGTTTTATTTCGTTAGTTCTCGCAAGCTGATCAAAAGTCGACGGACCTCGCAGGTGAGTAGGATACTGCTGCATAGGACACATATTTCTATGCACATGGCCCTGTGATTGTTTGGGCATATGGGGATGTGACGAAAAGAAAACGATGAACTGTGTTTTTTTTCAATGTTCTTATTAAAAATTTATATAAGCGATTTCTGGGTGATCCAAGTTAAACTTGGAGCAATTCTGACACTTTCTCGAATAGCTCCAAATGAGCTGTGAATGAGGTGTCTTTAAAGTTTGTCTATTTGAGCAATAGCTTCAAAGGAGCACAGGCACTAAGCCTTCCGTCTGCTCTATTTAACGGGCAGGTTCGATAAGTGCGCGGAATAAAAGGAACGGATCCGTTCCAGACGTTCCCGGTTAATGTTTCCCTTAAACAAATCAACCTGTTTTGACCTGAGCCGAGAAAAAGCTCTTCTGCCCTTATCAGGTGTATGTCTCGCAACGAAGCCACTGTATATGAATAACTTTTCTACAATGCGCTGTCGTCTTCGTCTGCACATAAGCCATTATAGGCCAACTTTGATACACGTAGGCCATATACGAATTTCTTTGGGAGTTACCGACCGTTAGGGCCCCCTAATAGCATAAGTGGACTTCGTTTCGTGCTGGGAACGAGCCAGCCAGCCAGCCAGCCATCTATCTGTCTATCTGATGGAATGCCTAACGGCGATACCGGACGTACAACTCGAATCATGAAGGCAACGCCTTGACGGGTGACATAATGGCAATTATGAGAGACTACTTTCTTTTTGGAGAAAAATCGTTGGAGGAGAGAGAAGGATGTTGGAAGGTTAGTCGTTTCCTGAGCAAGTTTTTCCACCAGAGTAAAATTTTGCCTGTCGCTGATCAGACTGTTGGCAACGACGTCAATCGTGGATGAAACGCGTGCGTTCCTCTATCATCTACGGTACGCGAGTATTTTTACCACATACATTTAGTACTGCGCAAATAGAGAAAAGTTAATGTTGACCGTAATGGATAGCAATGCGAACATAATAATTTTGCCTGAACATTTTTTATAGCTGTAAAATGCCCATCTAGCACGTTTTAAATCATGTTTCAGCTTGAAGACCGGCCAGCCTACGATGGTTTACGATTATCAAGTTAAGATCTATGTTGCGTAAGTATAAATCGTTAAGGTAATAAACAACTACGTAAAGACATAAGTCGTGTATCTAAGAGCAGACATAGGACATATCGATAGGTTCACCACAGAGGCTAGAGTACTACTGGCATCATCTTTGTTTGAGGCTGGCCACATGACATGTCTCTCAAACGCTGCGCTATTATGCTTTCCAATGTTTGATTCCGAACACGACTACATTGAACACATCCCTGCACATAGCGACATTGATTAAAGTTTATTTCTAGGTACCTTCCCGTTCACTAGCTCTTTTTTTTTTGCTTTCATTTGGTAACAGCTACGAGTAAAAGGTACATCGAAATGGTGAGTGTCGCTACGTTAGTGGGTCAATATTGATCACTCTAAATCGCGTTGTTGATGACTTTGTTAAGCAAAGAGGCTGGATATTTGCTTTGGTTAAACGAGGATATAAAGTAACCATCGGTCCGTGCTTTCCGGCTGTAAAGATTCGTGAAATATTATTGCTGCTACCGCGAGCAGAATTTTCACTAAGCAGCTTTTACAGCCACAATCTTAACCGGTATCCCCGTGGTCTGCAGCTTTCTGTGCTTCATTAGTCTTATGAAATGCGCGTTTGTACCGGTTCTCTCAAATGTGACATCTTGACACTGACTCTATTCTAAGAAATACTCCACAAAAGCCTGCTTTTTGAATTTCCATTATTGCACGTTGCAAGTAGCGTCGCTCCTTGTACCACGTGCCAAGATCGTCGAACGAAGATCATAGTCTACAATCGCGTGAAACCCACTCAAAGTACTATTTTATGCTTGTGCACTAAATAGCTAAATACATAATTGGAGATAAAACGACAATATCAGCTTACGAATGCTACATGCTAAAATATAAGCAAACGAAACACAATCTAGATGAAGCATGACGAATTTTCCTGAATGTTTCTATTGGGGATGAGGTTCGCAGAAGCGTTTGCGCCTATCTGTCCGTGCTTCACGCCAAAGCTAATACCAACAGGAAAGATCTTACCGTACGTCTCATTGCGAGTATGAAGAGTAACTTGCCAGTAATACTGAATAACACTAGAAGGAATCGTCGTACTGGAAGCGTAAGGGTCAAGTTGATTCCTCAACGACTTGGGGGAATATGGATACATCTCCCCAAGTTCGCACACTCTCGGTATCTAAATGAGAATAATTTTTACTTATCCAGAGTCGAGTGGAAAGCATGAAAATCGAGTCTTTGAAAACTAAATGTTTACATCAAACTTTCAGGTACCTTTGAATTGAATGCAGGAACTGGCAGTGTGGAGGGTAGGATATCAACCGCTAAGGCGTTCATCATAGGACCCGCAGTTGACATCATACTGTCTGATCTCCTAATTTAATTAACGACGAGTTGCTCGTATGAAAAGGCTATCGTACATTTAACACAAGTTTGATATTAGAACTGGGTTCAATTTTGCTGGGTATGTGTTTTCCGATAACAAAACTGCCCACACTGTAACAGCTATTCAGAAGCAAGTGATTTCATCAATAATCGATTCTCCATTAAACAACAGTGTATCTGTACTGTAGTGTAAAAGTTTTCAAAAAAAAAAAACTCTTCATCTTCTATACTTGTATATACCTAATACATCTGGTTCATACAGAGCGATTTCTTTGGTTCAAGAACTTCCTGCTATAGTGATGCAGAAGCATGAATAACCAGCTAAAAGCTCTGCTCGAAATACTCGGTTCATCCAGGAAAGTGGCCAAACGATTTCATCATATTTTGCGGCTAATATACATACGGCACTGGGTATGGGTGACGTTACTATATTCTTATAATAATCCATTGCAGATCGGAGAACAGATGCTTGGGTAGCTGCAAAACGCGATTGGATATATAGATAGGTTTAAAATTTGTTAGTCACAGTAGTCTTAACCACTCATATTGGACCATTTAAAAGATTACTACTAGGTTTTGGTTCGTTAAGTTCTTGATGATCCATTCATATAGGAATTATTTGTTCATCATAGGCACAACTCTACAGGCTCTAGCAGGAAACTTCGTTTAGGAATGGCCCACTGACTCGTAGCGTAAGTGTTGCTGGGCGAAACTTTCGGGTTCGGAAGCGCCTACATAGCATCATGCACGGCACTATGCTCACCCGATACTCTCTTTGATCAAGCACATCGATCTTAAGGTTTCAAAATTTTCGATCAAACTTTAAAAACCGAAAGCTGTAAAAGAACTGCTATAGAATTTTACATGTCAAATTTAAAATTTGCTATTCTTACTTTTTATAAACGCTAATAAAGCTGTTATATTAATTTAGGTTTTACCCGATGTCTATTCAATTTCGAAGAAATTTCCGCTGGCCTGCCTAGGCGGGTTCAAAAGCATTCGTTGACCCATTCGTTGATTAACGTTATAAAATACCGAGGGTGGTTGTTTTGCTGAAAAGTTTTTTCAAGTCATCCTTTGCTCTTCGTATGCCTGGTTTATAACAACAAGAGAAACCTCGTTGAAGTTTACTAAACAGGATTGATTGTCGCATTTAATATCGTTGCCTAGGAAGCGACACGACCGAAACAGCCAAGCTCCACTATCCGAAATTTATATCATGACCCCGGGTCAGACATCGAAGGCAATGTACCTACGGCTAAAGTCCTGATGCCTCCCTAAATTCACCCTTCGTCCCATATGAAACCGCTGTTCCAGTCTCCGTCGTCTAGGCATACGTTGTCGGTTGATGCCATTTACAAAGCTCGAAATAGCTATATAAGTTTATACCGTCCTATCTAGGCCCTCTGGATAGGACGCTTGTGGCCTTACTAAGACATGAGCCGACCAGCCAACACGCGGATGGATATATAAGGCTAAGATTTCACTAACTTCGCTGATGCATGCGACTAGTTGTCAATGTTCGTGCGATAGATACCACCGACAGACGCCACTGCCTTTGTTGATACGGTATCCGCGGAAAACATTGTAAACTTTGTTGTTGTTGTTGTTGTTGTTGTTGTTGTTATTATTCGTTCTTGATGATGCTAGGTTCGATATGTCCGACGCAAAGCACAAAGGTGACTCGTCTCGGGTGACGCTTTCTCTATATGGAGCACGCCGGCGCCACAGGAGTGCAAATTCCCCTAACTCTCGTCATATACCCGTGCGTATGTTGCTCTCATTAGAGCATCACTTACTTCTAAAGAAAAGAAAAAAAAAGGACGTGGGACGCATCGTTTAAAATGGCCGCCGTTGACGATAACGTGTGCAGTCGTAGGCATGATCAACATGGGTTGTCGAGATTAGGTGTGATCTTACTATTAATCTCCGCCCATGTTTGTTTACGTTGTTTTCTGATCGAAATGAAAGTACTAGTCCGTATCTACTGTCGGAATGATATATATTCGATGACGTAACTTCAACGTGGAGCGTGATCGTTGTTGTTGTAGTTAGTCGAAGTAACATAGGTATGAACTAATGCGAACAGTCTGATAGCGGGGTCATTGTTATTCAGTTACTAACGTACCTAAAACAAACTTGGAGCCGGAGAATGGAGTCATGCACCAATTAAATGCAAATTTTGGCAAACACTTCGTCGACAGAATCACTTGATGTATTATTCTAATCAGATAGTGCCAAGCTAACTAATCATTTTTAGCGGCCTTCGTGTCCTTTCATACCGTAGCGTACGCAACACAACAAACGACTTCAGGTCGAACTATATATTTCGTGCATTTTCACTCATCCAATGATCACTTAGTTCTCGTTTGATCGAATCGCGAAGAGCCTATTTCAACAACAGATTCACACCTTCATATTACAGTACACTAAATATATACTAAGAATTAATACAATGACAAACCATTGCACGATCCATTAAATATCGGTTCTCAAATACGTTACTCTGTGTCGGTACGCTTTTCTTAAGGAAGTGATTGTCGCACGGAACGAACAGTGGAAAAAGGCCGCTATCGGGTGATTCTATGGAGAATCCAAAACGCTTCTCTGGCAATAGCCTTTTCGTTGTGTACATCACAGTACGCTCCATCTGATCTGTATATACGAGATAAGTATTCATCCATCCAGCCATGTGCGCGTATTACCAATATGTGTCAGCCTTGTAGTTACCCAACCATATGTACATATACCGTATACCATTAGAATTGCTATGCCTTTTGTCTACAGGCTGGTCAAAGACGATGCCCGTCACAGTAGTTTCCGTTTAGTTAGTGAAGTAAAATCGGACACGAGGCGTACGTAATTTACTGTTAAAAAACTGCTAGAGCAATTGTATGTTGCTCGGCCATTCGTATAGTGAGAGGCGGGATGGTTGTCTGATTGCCACATAGGTGTGAGCTAGAAGTGGTGATGCGGCTCGGTTTTTCTACGAGATGCGACTACCCACACGACAGCATCTTAGCAGACTTTATCAATTCAACCTCGCTTGTGATAGACGGCTTCAACACATAATTATAATAAGTTCATTTATATCACAGGTTTACAATGAAAATAAATAATCATACGTGGAGAAACATCATGTCCTGAGGTTTGGCTACTCCAACTTCTTTTTTTCGGTATAGGCACAAGAAACACTATGTGTAATGCAATTTATAAAGTACTATGAGTAGGCGCAAAGGCGATTTTTATTCAGTGTGATAGTCCAGTGATTTCGAAGGTACATATAATTTAACTTTTAGATACATATAACTTTCAAATAATTATTGAAGAAATTTTCTTTTGTTACTGGATACACTATAATTTTAAGTAACTCAAGCGATTCTCTCACCTCTCTGCCCCAGCGTGTTTCATAAGCGAAGCAGATTGCCAACTTAATGAAAAAACTACGATATAATTATATTTTTGTATTTAAATGTTTACCCGTTAGACTACTCCCATCCTTTTAACAAGTTTGCCCGTCAGTAGAGAAGAATGTGAATTTTGTTATACCACTCGTAGATATGCGGTTGAAACCGAAACAGTGTTTTAAATACGAGTACGTTCGGGGGTATATTTTTAAAAAATAGCTCTCTTTACAGATTTCGTTAATTATTTCTCGCGGAAACACCCCATACAGTCCTACGCATCTGGCTGATAGTATTGGCAATAAAGCCTATTCGGTCGACAACTTATAGACCCAATAGTTTATTGTGCTTATCGTCACTTCGAATTGTGATTACATGTTCCATCTACGTGTTTTGATCGTCGGGTACGATATGTCTTCGTCTGAAAAACTACCAGAGACTATCTGTTCGGAACTAATCACATGTCTAGCAAAACGAGGTGCATCTGCTGTACCGACAATGGGACGCATAAATGGAGTCTGTGAAGGAATAACCGTTATTGCATCACTAACAGTTTGGAGCACTCGGCACCTCGCGGCCTTAGCTGCGCCGGTAAAGTACTTCCCCGTAGTTGACAGCGTTCCTTGCAGATTTTCCAGACATTCTATCTTCGTTCTGATGGGACTTTCGGAGTATGCTCTCACTTCTCGATATAGAACCGCGTCATGAAAAGTTTTAACCCCTCACTCTGCTCCATTTCTCCATATGTATGTATATATACGATGTGCTGAACTAATTAACCTTTGGCTGAAAAGGCGAGGGGTCGTAGTTCGAACGGTGCCAATTTACACGACAAGATTATATATATAGGTACGATATTTCGCCCATGTGATGCGAGTCATTCATGATATACGTTCATTGCTTTCTCGCCTTTCAGTACGGCACTACTATGAACGCACTGTGCTAAAAGGCGCTCATACGTGTATTGTTTCTCGATGGGCAGCTCACGTCAACGTTATACGTTTACCACTTTATATTTATGTAATTAATGCTTGGCAGCTGAGATTTCGTATACCCTTCAAAATATTTACTACTCGCTTATAGACAAAGCCGAAATAGCAGGCATTACGGAGCAGTGTGTCAGCGATCTTTAGGTGGGCAGTTTATTAAAAGTGATCCGAAAAAAACCCAGAAATGAATTATTTTATCGGACAATTCGTTGAAACTTTTTTTTTGAAACAAATAGAGGTAAAGCTAAGAGCGTTCCGTGTATTTTCGCCGACATGATTGTTTTTTAAGAAAAAAAAAAGTCACGTGTTAAAAACGGGCATTTTCGTACGACATTGAATTGCTTGTCACTTGTTATTGTTGCTGAGGGTTCGTTAACAATAAAAGTGCGTTTTAGCACTTCACCTGTGAATATCGCTGATACAATGATGTTGCTCATTTTCCGAATAGAATCTAAAAATGACTCTCTAACCTTGTTTTAGTTCTATATAGTGTAAGAACATAAATCAAGTATCGTTTTTTGTTATTAGCGCGTAAGATTGACAAAATTTGCCGATACAATAAATAATAAAAGCATTTTACTGTAGGCAGAGGAAAACCGTAGAGGCAACTAAGACATTTAAGAAATTATAAGAATTATAAGAAAAAAATGTAAACATTAAGCACATTGATTGATTGATGAATAATTTAGACCAGAATTTAACCAATTCGTCTCGTCTCGTTTCGTCTCGTCTCGTCTGCTCTAGATATACACGAATCGCCTATCAAACGATACATGTCCTATGCATACGGCTTGAAGTGTCCCTAGAAGTGTCTGTCTTGCCTGATCGCGATGCAAATGTCTCTGCTCAATGAAGCAATTCGCGCTTGCGATATTCGTCGGCTTTGCGACACGCTCAGGGTGTGCCACGGGATGTCTGTTTGTGATTCTGTATGCACAGCTGTACATAATAATTGCCTTTGTAGGCAGAACACAATCAGCCACAGGCGAATATCAATACGTCTGCCAGTCATTTATTTGCTTTAACCCTAAAAGTCTAGATCTGAGACCGTGTTGAGACCCGTTAGACATGTTAGGACATGATGTAATATCGTTGTCTGATCAGCTGCCTTGGTCTGCCACGTGTCGGAGGCTGTGTGTGAACTTCCGCTGTCCGTCTAAACGACAGTAAATGAATACCAACCCGCACAGATTAGAGACAAATTGCTCCTTTATTTAAAATAATTAATTAAATACAATTTAATGAGCATTCAAAGGTTCGGTTGCCACGATCAGGAATGGAATAGAAACAAAGGCTCAGTCAAAGTAACTACTACTTCGATGTGAATTCGTCTTTGTGAAACGGCCGAACTCATTTGTTGTGCCTTCGTGTGCTGTTCTCGCTTCCTTTGTTGTGTCGAGTTCGCTTTTGCGTTGTACGTACTTATTTCCGTTTTTCAAGGATTTTCACGATTTATCGCATCAGGTTCCAGTTGCACGCTATATATATGTACCCCTAGAACTATATACGATGCTAGGCCAAATAGCACCACTCGGTCCACAGGTATCAGAGGTCGTGCCCTTTCCCTACATTCTTCTTTTATTTTTACGTCGAATGAACAGTGTACACTATGCACTGTGTGGATGTGTGACATTCTTGGGCATAGGTATACTTTGGACATATCCTCGTTCGATATACGGTACATAAATGTGCTGTTAGCGTTGTTAAATTTAATGGACATTGCCTTCTTTGTCCACACTTAACGAATACGCCCTGATGTGTATGACAATGCGTACAACGAGTATGATTGTTTGAAACGTATATTGAACGAAGCAAAATAACAACAAACAAATTATTTACAGATAGATACCAAATCGCGATCCGCTAGCTCTTTGTAAGCGAGGTAGCTTGATAGCGTACAAAAAAAACGTCTAAGAGGAGAGCTATGCAATGGCGCAGAGTTGTCGATTTCGTTAGCAGCTTCTGATAGCGCTCTGTACAGTTTTAGAGTAAAACACTTGTAGCCCTCACTCAGGCCGCTCACACTGACTAGCTCTAGTTCTAGTTCTAGTCTTGCAATCCATCCGTGTAATGCTTTGAGCCTATGAGTCAGCTTCGATAACGTACACCCATGTTGATTCCTTAAGCTCACATATGGGAAACCGACAGTGTCTTCATAGAAACAGTACTCGGTCGTATGGCTACTGGTATACGAAGACGCATGTAGGTTTTGTCTCTTCGTATGTAGTAGGTTGAAGCGGT